TTGGGTGTTACAGGAGTAGTCCCAGAGTTATGTTATTTGTTATATGTGCGTTGTATGGTATGTGGTAGTTTGGGGGAGCTCACTAAGCTTCGTGCTTACAGTTTCAGTTTTGGTTTCAGGTACTTCCGGTAGCAAAGGGAAGAGCTCGGGATGATCGCATGGCACACACCACCTTCTTCAGCATGGGAGTTTTACTCTGATATTTTGATATGATATTTGACATGAGATGCTCCAGTGAAGCGAAGACCGGTTAGGTCAAAGTCATCTCGAAGATCGGCTTCAAGTTCTGAAACAAGTGCCGGGGCACCCATCGGATCGAACAAGAAATGGGTTAAACCCAACTACAAATGGGTACCAAAGGTTCAATCTCCCAAATCACCTAATGACTCTAATATTTCTTCATCTTCTGTTTGTGATAAGCAGGACATGTCGTGGGAGAGAGTTCCTTGCACAGATGACAAAGGTCAACCCAGTTTCAAAATGGACTATGGTTCTAAAGATCAACTGACCCCGCTCTGTGTCGGAACAGCTATGGAGGCATATCATCAGACTTCGGTTTGTTGATAGTGGTTGTTCCTGGCACATTATTGGATACATCTCTCAATTGTACAACACTCAGAACTTTAAGTGAGAGCATGTGTCCTTTGCGAGAAAGGAAAGGAAAAAAGGAGAGGATCACTCATGGGTTTTGTGCCTAACGATGTGAAGAATTTTCGGATCTGTTCTGAGATTATGTATGTTGTTCTCAGACCTTCTGGATGCAAATTCAGTCGGCGACTTACAGTTTGATTTTTCTTCTCGATACTCCTGAGTTTATCTTAAACTGATTCATTTTGAAGACAATTTTTTTCTTTCTTATAGTTTTTCTTTAGTAGGTATTATTGGGATATGATATCAAGAAAGTGATAACGGGCAGTCTAAACATGTGTAAGGGACTGAATCTGAATTGTCTACACTCTGTGTTCAATGTGTTGGTAGGCACAAAGGATTTGATAGTGTGGATTTAGATAGGATTGTTTGGACTGACCATACGACGCTCGGGTAGCTGAGCAGTGAGCTAAACACGGGAACCCACGGGATACATTAAATTAATACGTATCTAGAACTGTAGCTTAACTTTTCCTCGATGTACGGACTTATGTCCTTAATTCTGGTTCTGATAGGGCGACTGGGGGGTTCTGATAAAGTAGGTCTGTAGGAAATTATTTTCTTTCTTTCTATCTGTCAGTCATATGTTGCTTCCTCTGCGTGATTGGAAGAGATCCGACCTGGAATGCAACATATGCAACTCTATTTCTACGCACCTCCTTATATATGAAATTATTTCTATCTGTTAGCCATATGTTGTCCCCTCTACGTGATCGGAAGATCCGACCTGGGACACAGCATATGCACCCTATTATCTCTAAACTCTCTATCTCTGTTAGTCATATGTTGTCCCCTATGCGTGATTGAAAGAGATCCGACCTACGACACAACATATGCACCTATCTCTAAATCTGTCTTCCTCTTTAATAATTGTTTACTCACCTAAAGTAAGGAGTTCTTTGGAAGTTCTTGATAACCAGGGTATATCGGGAAGTGGGGAACACGTTCTAGTGCAACTAAAATTGAACCATTTAGAGGTTGTCTGTAGATCTCGCTGCTTAATTTAAGTGGACAACAATACTCGTGGTCGTCGTCAGCTGAATGGTATATTTGGAAAAGTTTGTCAATATTCTTCGTGTTTAAGTTGACCATAATACCGACAATTGACCAGATTTATTCATGAAGGTGAAGGTACTGCTAAACAAAGTTAAGATTATCTCACAACTTTGATCCCAAATATTTTTGTTTTTGTTCAATTTGTTCATAGTTTTCTTCTATGCACAAATTTAGAGGGAGAATTAAAAAAAATAATAAATAAATAAATAAAAATTCAAAAATTCAAAAATCAAACAAAAATCAGAAAATTCAAAAAAAATCAAACAAAAGTCAGAAAATTAAAAATCCAAAAATAGTGTTATTTCTGTTTTATTTCTTGTTCAGAAAAAATCAAAAATCCAAAAATATTTTTGTTTCTGTTTTAGTTTTCAGAAAATATGAAAAATACAAAAATATTGTGTGCTAAGTTTTCTTTTAGTTTTGTTTTGTCTTGAAAAGTGAATTCAGATGTAGATGAGACTCATGGAGACTGTATCGAGATTTTCTGAGCCAAGGATTCGTCCGTGATCATCGAAGAATTTTCATTCAAAGGAACAAGAAATGAAGACTATTCTTTCAACATTCAATCTTTCAACCCCAGAAGCAAGGTGAAGCTGACTTGAAGATTATGTGACAAGTTGCATTGAAGCCTCCTCAATCAATTTGTTGCTATCTATGTACCTGCTGAAGTGATCCAGAAGATTCGTTCTCTCTGATTTTTTCTCTGAAGATTCTCAAGCTGAAAGCGCTAAATTTTCAAGAATCTGTACAAGATGCTTCCACACCCAACGTGCGTTCAAAGTCAAATCTTGAAGAAATGTCCAACTGCTCAAGATGAAGTCTTTTATTGAAGATTCATCAAGTTCATCTTGAAGTTGTGAAGAATTTAAAGGTTAACGTTGAAGCTAGCCAAGCTCCAACTGAAGATTGACAAGAAAAGCCAGCTACTTTTTAGGGGGAGTTATTTTGTTGGGTCAATTAGAAAAGAAAGTTATAAACCAAATGGGAGATTGTTGGGTCAAAAATATGGTTTATACTTTACTTTTCTAGGAAATTATAGTTTTTGGTCTAGAACCGAAAACAGCATTGGGTTTACGGCTGTAAACGTGTTTACGGTTGTAAACTTGTTTACGGTTGTAAACGCGTTTGCAGCCTCTGTTCCCTATATATAGTATTAGTAGGTGTCAGAGTATGAGTGAGAGACTGTACGGTCAAGAGAGAGAGAAAGGAGCTTAAGTGTGTAAGTGTGTGAATCTTGTATAAGGGAACTTCATTCTAATCAAATCATATAAGATTCATATTATTCTTCTTCTCCTTCTTTTCTATTTTGATCTGGCATCATCCGTTTGATTGGAATTCCGCACCATCAAACGGATTTGATTGATACTCAAGCAGATTTGGGACTTTCACATTCCTACTCACAAACAAATAAAACATAAACATAAATAATGAAAGCAATTTGAGACACTTTGTTCTCCTCACAAACCCCCGCACAGACCATATTTATCATATCTAATGATAGTTACCGATTTGATTAGTTAATAATACAATGAATGGTTAGAAATATGTGCATGTGGGATACATTAGCTAATGAGATTTGGCATCTACATGTATAAACAAATCCTTTTTAGATCTCAACTTTTATAATAAACAATTAGTCATTTCCATACCTCTTATCTCTTATCTCTCTCTTTTTTAATTCTTATTTTGTAAAGAAAAAATGATATTAAATCCTCGGGATCGTACTTAATTCCTTAATTCTTCCTTTTTTTCCAATCAAAAATTTCACCACAAAAAGTAGATCGAAGAAAACAGATTTTATTATATTTTTAAATTACTGTTTTTGTATTATCAGAATAGATTTGAGTATAGTTATTACTTGTAATATTATAAGTTATTTAAATGAATATAAAAATTTTACTGCATCAAAATTGTAAACACAAGTTATTTTATGAAAATCAAGTACTTTGACGCGAGTTTAGTAATTAGTATTTTTGCAATCTGTAACGTACTATTTCATCGCATCATTCTTTAATATGATCTAAATAATAATTAACAGTACACCATGAAGTTTAATGTAATTGTGGTGGAGTATGAAAGTTGTAGTTGAGAAAGGTATATATGTTGGTTTATGTGTGTGGTTGGATTTAGTAAAAAGAAAGGGTTGGGTTTGCAGCATATAAAAATAAAATTGTGACGAGAAACATGTAGGCTGTCTTTGTCTCTGGTTATACCATTACTATAACCTTAATAACAACAATATATAGATATAGATAGATATAATAGTAACATGGGGATGACCCAGACCCAGTTGCTTGGGTGGTGACCACCCTTAATACGTTTTATGGTCATTGGACCACCTCACCCTTGGCTTATTAACCTAGCTATTATAATCAATCAATTATCTTTACAAACAAAAACATAAAATCGTCACTGGACCATAGATTTTTTCTTTTTTTTGCTATTTTTTAAGAAATGATTATGACCAAATTAGACATGCATGTTTCTAAGATAAAAGAAGGAAGTTATATATAGAGATACATCATATATAAGACTCTATACATATATAGATTGTTGAGTTGAGTGAAAAAAACTACAGGGGATGGAGGGCATTAAAGTAAAAAGAAGCATATATATAGCCATATAGGTGGTGTCATTGAACAACATGTCTAGGGCTGACAATGAAAACTATAACTCAAAACATGTAAGGAAAAGGAAGGGGGCACCAAACCAAACCAAACCCCAAGGATTATTAACATTTACCTGCCTGTATACACAAAGCTAACTGCCAAAATACCTTTAATTTTCACAACAGAAAAACACTACTCACTACTATACCTCCTTTTACACTTTACCCTTAGTGAGTGAGGTGTGTCATTATGGAATTACCAATTACAAAGTCACCAACCCAACCTGTTAACATGTTTATGGAATAATAGAATCATGGCAAACGCCTATGTTAACTTTATATACTCCTAACTTTTTTATCTTATAAATATTAAAAAGTTAGGTTGGTTTCGATTTTAAATTTCAATATGAAAATTGAGTTTTAGTTGGGTTGACACCGGTTTGATATTATTAGATAAGCAATAGAGAAGTGTGGATCGAAGTGAAGTATTGTTGGAAAAAAAAAATTAATTAATTAAAGCCGAGAAGTAAAGTAAGTGAAGAGTAGATGCATGGGTTCCCTTGGGTTAATTGGTTATATATAAAAATGAAAGTGCGATTGGTTGGATCCAGATCTGTTGGACATGGACTGCAATTCTTAATCTTGTTGTATAAATTACTATAAACGAAACATGGGGTTCCCCCCTCAACAATCCCCATAAAAAAAAAAAAAACACACACACACATCTCTTCTGCTCTGTTCTTCTCTTCTCTCCTCTCCTCACATGAGCAATGCCTGCACCCTTAAGAAATCCCAAACTTTCTTCTTCTCCAATCTTCTACTTCTTCTTCTTCCTTTTCTTCTTCCCTTTTATCTGCCATTCCATTGATATACAGGGTCAAGCTCTTCTAACATGGAAAAACACCTTAAACAGCTCCACAGATGTATTGAAATCTTGGAATCCTTCTGACCCAACTCCTTGCAATAATTGGTTAGGGATTCAGTGCAATTCAGATGCTCATGTGGTCGCTATAAAATTAAACTCTCTGGATATACAAGGACCGCTACCTTCAAATTTACAGCCTCTTAACTTCTTGAATTCCCTTATTCTTTCATCCGCCAATCTCACCGGCACCATTCCCAAAGAGTTTGGAGACTACCTTCAGCTTACGCTCATTGATATATCCGATAATTTGATTACTGGTTCAATCCCGCCCGAGATTTGCAGCCTAAACAAGCTGCGAACTCTGTCTCTTAATACCAATCTTCTGGAAGGTGGAATCCCTCTGGACATTGGGAATCTTTCAAGTCTTGAAAACTTGATGATTTTTGATAATCAATTGAGCGGTGAGATCCCAAAGAGTATAGGGAAGCTGGAGAGGCTTCAAGTTATTAGAGCTGGGGGAAACAAGAATCTGAAAGGAGAGTTGCCGGAGGAAATTGGAAATTGTAGCAATTTAGTGATGTTGGGTCTTGCAGAAACCAGTATTTCCGGCAGTCTTCCGGCATCCATCGGAAAGCTGAAACGGGTCCAGACGATAGCTATCTACACGTCGCTATTGTCAGGTCCTATTCCAGATGAAATTGGGAACTGCACTGAACTCAGGAATCTCTACTTATACCAGAACTCCATTACTGGTTCCATCCCGAGGTTAATTGGGGAGCTTCGAAAGCTTGAGAGCGTGCTGCTATGGCAGAACAGTTTAGTCGGGACGATTCCAGAAGAAATTGGAAGGTGCAGTCAGCTTTTGACCATCGATTTATCTGAGAATTCGTTAACCGGAAATATTCCGACGAGTTTGGGAGGGCTGTCGAAGCTTCAAGAGCTTCAGTTGTCGGTGAACCAATTATCAGGTATGATACCTGTGGAAATCACAAACTGCGCTGCTCTGACTCATTTGGAAGTTGATAACAATCAACTGACGGGAGAGATCCCCATTTCGATCGGAAAATTACAGAGCATGACTCTGTTTTTTGCGTGGCAGAATAATCTTACAGGCAACATTCCAGAGTCTTTATCCCGATGTGAGAATCTTCAAGCTCTTGATCTCTCATATAACCAACTTTTTGGTACGATACCTAATCAAATCTTTTCACTTAAAAATCTTACCAAGTTACTATTGCTTTCCAATGATTTGTCGGGTTTTATCCCATCCGATATTGGAAGCTGCACTAACTTGTACAGATTCAGAGTCAACGATAATAGACTTTCGGGTATTGTTCCATCAGAGATAGGGAATTTAAAGAATTTAAATTTTCTCGACATGAGCAACAACAAATTCGTGGGAGCGATTCCTCCATCCATCTCAGGATGTGGGAATCTTGAGTTTCTTGACCTTCATTCAAACGGCCTCAATGGTGTTTTCCCTGATACACTCCCGAAAAGTTTACAGTTTGTAGACATGTCGGATAACAGGCTTACAGGTTCGTTAAGTCCTAGTGTTGGTTTGTTGACTGAATTGACTAAATTTAATTTGGGAAAGAATCAACTTTCCGGTGAAATTCCAGCGGAGATCCGTTCTTGTAGTAAGCTACAGTTGCTGGATCTCGGAAACAATGGTTTCTCAGGCGAAATACCTAAACAATTAGGCCAAATCCCGTCGCTTGAAATCTCACTCAATCTAAGTTGCAACCAGTTCACCGGTGAGATACCGTCTGAGTTTATGGGACTTACCAAACTCGCAAGCCTAGACCTGTCCCATAATAAAATAAACGGGAAACTAGACGTCCTCACAAACCTTCAAAACCTCGTCTCCCTCAATGTTTCATACAACGACTTCTCCGGCGAATTACCAAACACTCCGTTTTTCCGGAACCTCCCTCCCGGTGATCTCGCCGGAAACAAAGCTCTTTACATTTCCGGCGCAGTCGTTACCCCGGCTGACAAAACCGGTCATGCCAGGTCATCAACAAAACTAGCGATGTCGATCCTCATCAGCATTAGTGCAGTGCTGGTCCTGCTAGGAATTTACACGTTGGTGAGGACCCGTTTGGCCAACAAACAAGTAATACGTGAAACATGGGAAATGACATTCTATCAAAAGATGGAAGTTTATGTCGACCATATAGTTCACGATCTGACATCAGCAAATGTGATTGGCACCGGAAGCTCTGGAGTCGTATATAAAGTGACGACTTCAAATGGGGAAACCCTAGCTGTGAAGAAGATGTGGTCAACCCAAGAGTCGGGAGCTTTCACCTCTGAAATCGAGACACTTGGTTCGATCCGACACAAGAACATCGTTCGTCTGTTAGGCTGGGGTTCGAACCAGACGATTAAACTTCTGTTTTACGATTACTATCCTAACGGAAGCTTGAGTTCGCTCCTCCATGGTGCTGGTGCTGGGATTGGGAAACAAGCAGGAGCAGAGTGGGAGACTAGGTACCAGGTTGTACTAGGCGTGGCTCATGCTCTCGCGTATCTACATCATGACTGTGTGCCCGCTATTTTACATGGAGATGTGAAAGCCATGAATGTGCTATTGGGTCCGAACCTACAACCTTACCTTGGTGATTTTGGGCTGGCTAGACTTGTTACAAAAGACCAAAACCAGAGACCTCAGCTGGCTGGTTCTTATGGATATATGGCTCCTGGTAAATTACTTTTATACCCTTCTCTCTCTTACTTTTTGTTGATTGTTAATTTGTACAATAATATTGTACATGATCACTGCAGAACATGGGTCGGCGCAACGGATTACGGAGAAGAGTGATGTGTACAGTTTTGGAGTAGTTCTGTTGGAGGTGCTGACAGGAAGGCATCCACTAGATCCATGTTTGCCAGGTGGCACACACTTGGTACAATGGGTACGGGACCATTTGCATGGAAAGAAGGATCCGGTTGAGATTCTGGACCCGAAGCTGAGAGCAAGAGCCGACCCTCAGATGCATGAAATGCTTCAGACGCTCGCCGTCTCATTTTTATGTGTCAGCTCACGTCCAAACGACCGACCAATCATGAACGATGTGGTTGCAATGCTCAAGGAGATCCACCACGAGGAATCACTTATAAGGTCATCCGACACACAAGAGTTGAAAGGGAAACTATTGGTCAATCCTGCATCCCCAGCCCCAGCCCCTACTAAATCCATGGTTTTGCAAGCTTCTTCTAACTGCTCATATGCCTTCTCAGATGACTCCATGTAATGTAGTAGTGTCTTTTTTTTTTTTTTTTTTTTTGTAGCATCTTATATTAATAATGATAATATTGATATATTAAGGTAGCGGGTTTGTACTGAATATATAGTGAGAAGAAGAAAAAAATGTACAAATTGTGTACTAGTCTAGATAGATAGATAGATTATTAGAACGTTAATGAATTGAGGATGATTGATGTAAAATAGGTTTTTAAGTGTGAATGGAGTGAGACGAGGCACATGTCTTTATCTTGGGTCGTCAGCATTGAGCAAGCAAGTGTATTGTGTATGTGTATGTAGAGGGTGGAGAAATGGCCGGTTGGTTTCATTTGGATCTATTATATTTATATAATATATAATATATAATTAATTACAAGTGTCTCTGAGCGATTTGTCCATCTACATCGAGTCAGCCTTTTCCTTGAAGTGGTATGTTGCACATGGGGCCTCCATGTGAACTTTACAACCTGACACCAATGCAATGAAGGCTTGCTTATTAAAACTAAACTTTGTGAAACAGAATCACCATAATATCCATGAATTGATGCCAAAGCAAGGGGGGATACGTACAAAAATCAACATACATATGTTTTTACTTTTTAGTACGTAGGAAATTAATAGATCGATATACAGGAACAGGAACGTACAGGAAGGAAGCAAAGCAAACACGTGTAAAAGTGTTGAGAAATTTTGAAAATTATGTGGATGCCTCCTAAATAACTGAAACCTAGCTATATATACCCATCTCATGAACAATACATTCATCAATAACGAAAAAAAAAATCTTTGGAACCCGACTTTTGAGTAAAAGCGCAAACAGACAGACTAGACTCATGTGATGTCATGGATCCAAAACTTTTCCATGGGATGGTCCCTAAATAAGTTAATTCCAATCGAATAATAAAATATTATTATTGTATATATGGTGGCGGGGGCGGGGCCTAGAATAACTAGCTAGGCACGTGGTGCTTCTAAGTCTAGTCTTATGAGTCGACAAATTATACCAATATGAACATGTAAGCAATCACGAAGCTTGCTAAATGCTAATCCCTCCATGTGATACGTACCAGTAAGAATACGATGACATGACATGATTCAAATGGGTTCTTGATCAGCTTGAACCAAAATATTAATCATGCATGCATGCATGCATGGTTGCCTCTTAAAAACATAATTAGTTGAATAATAATGAATACCTAGATTAACTGTACATGCGGTGACCTATTAATTTTGTTGTAAGTCTGAGCCATCAACAAAAGTTGGGTTTGGGTGTCAATTTTATTAATGAAATTAAGACAAACTGCAGGTAATTAGGTACTACTAGGTATAGAGTAACCAACATTAAACAATATTTTAATGATAAAAATCTGAGTCTAGAAAATTGGGTTTAGGCATGAAATAATACACTAGTCTTCACTCGGCAGACCAAACCAAACAGTAGGTTTATTATAGATTGCATTTAGGGACGAGCAAGGAACCGGACCGGCCCGAACAGGACCCGGCCTGCAGTGACGGAGCTTGAACTTTTGATTTGGGGCCGAAAGTATAATAAGTATGAAAATCGGAGAACAGGGGGGCCAAAGCCAAATTTTGTAGCTTTTGGGCCTAATATGTAAAAATTTTAATACTTAAGGACTATTTGTGACAAAAAAAACAGGGGGGTCACAGCCCCTCCTGGCCCCCATAAAGATTCGTCCCTGCCGGCCCGGGAACCGAAGTCGGCCAAAATTAAGAACCGAACCAGACTGCCGGTTCTACCGGTTCTTGCCGTGTCTTCAATGTTGGAACCGGTTCTCGAGAAATAGCAACATACGGTTCCGGTTTTTGCCAGTTCTACCGGTTTTTTCCAGTTCCACCGATTCCCGATTCCAAAACACCACAACAATATCGTCCCGGTCCCGGCCCGACCCGACCCAACCGGTTCCATCGGGTTCCGGTTCCGATACCGGTTCCGGCCGGTTCCCCGGTCCATATGCTCATCCCTAATTGCATTTGCAGGTTCTGTAATCCATATATATTATTTGTCTTTGTATTATTTTAGTATATATCCAGACCCATTTGTATTATATCGGCCCTCGTGATTTGTATGATGTATATATTGTGATTAATGAATGAGAGATCACTTTTATGGGAAAATGTTGATTATTTCATGGTATAAGAGTGATGCGACGTGGCTCCGAACCACCTAAGCTACAGGGAGATGGTCGTCGGAATGGAACCTGAAAGGCCACAAAGAAAGAAGAGGCGTCAGCCGCTCTCCGGGAGGAGGTCCCGGAAAGACGCTCCGACGGTCAAGTTAGTGAGGTGAGTCTGGAGTATGGAGGTAGATGGTCTGGGCAGAATAGCTTACCTCTCAAGGCAGAGTAATCGGCATTTTATACTGAAGATCTTCCTCGGTCCGTATGAGGGACAAGGACTGCGGTTCCGACAGGATCCGCCGTTCTTATTGGAAGGCCATGCTCCACGTTTGTGCTCGGTCCAACGATTGGTCCAGGCAATAATGCTCTGAGTGCGCTCTTTGTCGCCTGGAGCCGTTATTCTTGGACTGTAGCTGAAGGACAATACTTGGTGAGGGCGGACTTCCTACGCGATCGCCTCACGGGAGTCCTGAGCACCTCGTCGGGGATTCGCTTGCTTCTGGCCCGCTTTGAGGGGCGCGTCATCAAGTCCCCCAGTCCAGTAGTCATAGTGTATGCTAGCTAGCTATGATTTTCTGGACTTAACTGTTGGTGCATGTGTCATGCTTTTACTCGGTCGTCGCTTCGGTTCTGGTGATGTGACGTTACGACGTGTGCGCGGCGGTTTCGTCAGTTGTGTCAGGGATTTTCGTAAATCCCGCTTTTTTCCTTTTTATTGCTCCCAAGCGGTTTTCTTTCTCAGTTTCTATCTTGTTTCTTCATTCCTTCTTCTTCTTTCCTTCTTCTGTGTTTTGCCATGACTTCCTCTCAGGGTTTGATCCCCAGCTCCGCCGAGTTCGTCACCCTCCAAGAGGCTTATGGCCTTACTCCGGCTGACGGAGTGGAGTTTCCGGTCTCCGGATCTCTGATTACCCGGCCCCCTCTGGAAAAGTGGGTGTTTATCTGAAAACCTTTGATGCCGGCCTTCGCCTTCTGCTGACTGACTTTCAGGAGGAGATACTCCGGCGCAATGGATGTAGTATTCAAATGTTGGCCCCGAGTGTTGTTCATAAGATGGTAGCCTTCGAGATGATATGTCGGGCCAATGGCATCGTTCCTGACTACTATGTGTTCAAGTTCTTCTTCCGGTTTGCTGCTACCAATGATAAGTACACCTTCTCTGCCTGTCGGGGAGGCCATAACCTTGTCCTTGATAGCAAGCCTCCCAAGAACTGGCAGGACAAATGGTTGTGGGTCAACCAAGAGCTGCTTGGCCGCGATTATCCTCGGGCAACTGCGTTATCTGACACTATCCCTAAGTTGTTCCCCCATAATCAGGCGACTGCCAATCTCTTGCGCACTCTCCAGGTGGACGTTGATGTGATGTTAGAGGTCATACTTGTTGGTGTTGGAATGAGCCCCAGCTGGCGTGCTCGGGGGGGGGGGGGGGATGTCTGTCTTCTATACTGTTTCTAACGGTAAGTCGTTTTTACTTCTTCCATTGCCTCCTTTTTCCTTCTTCCTCCTCCCCCCCCCCTTTTTGGGAAAAGGAGGGGAAAAAGGATGGGGGCCTCTCGCTTGTTTTTGTGTTCTCGCGCTTGTTTCCTTATGTTTGGCATACGATTGATAGGTGTCGAATGCTCCATCTCCATGGACTCTGTGCTGCGGGGACGTTATCAGGGAAAGCTAGAGCGCCGTGTGGTTCCCTTGTATGAGATTTTGCCTCCCCCCCCCCCCCCCCCGTTTAGGTGCTGTTACCTCGGCACCCCCTCAACCAGTAGGAAGTTATGCTGCGTCGGAGAGCCAGCCGGGTCCCCACACTGTTGTAACCCCTGCCGCTACGTCTCGTCCCCCTGTTGAGCCGATAATTGATAATGCGGTGGACAGCAAGATCGGGATTACTGCCAGCGTGCGATGGGTTGCAGAAAAAAGGAAAGCTATGTAAGCGATGAGTGGGTCGGCGCCTGAGGGTAGTTCAGAACCGATTGGGCAGCGTGTGATGCAGCGTCGCGGCCTCATGCGCCTGCTGTCTTCTACGCCGTCTCATTCAGGGGATGTGTTAGTGATACCCGATGATGACGTTCAACATTCTGAGAGTATCGGAGGGGCGTCTCATCAGCCCATTGTTCCTGGGCCAATCTCTTTGAGTCCTGGTTTCAGCCCTCCGTCTTCGAAGGGTAGTGCTGAGCGATTGTTTCAGGAGTCTGCTGCTGTAGGGGTACTTCACAGTGCACCTCCGTTTGTTCCGGGATGGAGTTTGCGATCCGTCTCCCGTTTGTCTGTGTGTTCTGTTGTGTTGGACTTTACTCGCCATGCTCTTCCTCCTGCCACCGTCGATGATATGGATTCGATGAGTAACGCCGTCTTGGCTCACAACCTTGCTTATGCCGCTGCACAGGCCATGACATACTTGGCCGTTGGGTCCCACCGTGTGCAGCGGTTCGACGAGTTAGAGCACACACATTATGTTCTTTTGGCAAGCGAGGTTGGTTTGCAGGGAGAGGCGGCGGGCCTTGGTGCCGCTGTTCAACGATTGGAAGGTGAGAACAGATCTTTGGTGTCGGAGAAGTCGGTTTTAGAAGATGTTCGTAGTGCTTTGGAAGGCCAAGTGGAATCTCTAACCCAGGCGCATGAAGGCCTGATGATACAAAATGAAAGTCTGGAGCGGGATCTTGTTGACCGCGAGCGAGAGTTGGAGGTATTAAGGGCTGACCGTAATTGGCTGCTTCAGGTTGTCCTTGTGCATATGATGGATAAACTTCATGAGCATCCCGAATTTACAGGTGGTATTAGCCATATTCGTCATGCTGCTTTTGTTGCTGGCGAAGAATCTGGTTAGGCTAACTTGAAAGCACAGGTCGACGCTGGGACTTATGACCCTTCTGCCAGCGAC